CGGTGCGGGGCCAAAAGCGGCGGGAGCGGAGCGGGAGGCGCCGCCGGGAGCGGAGCGCGGGGAGCCGGTGAGTGCCGAACCGAACCGAACCGAGCCGAGCGGAGCGGAGCCGAGCAGCCGGTCAGTGCCGAACCGAACCGAACCGAGCCGAGCGGAGCGGAGCGGAGCCGAGCAGCCGGTCAGTGCCGAACCGAACCGAGCCGAGCGGAGCCGAGCAGCCGGTGAGTGCCGAACCGAACCGAACTGAACCGAGCCGAACCGAACCGAGCGGAGCCGAGCCGAGCCGAGCGGAGCCGAGCAGCCGGTGAGTGCCGAACCGAACCGAGCTGAACCGAGCCTAGCCGAGCAGAGCCGAGCAGCCGGTGAGTGCCGAACCGAGCTGAACCGAGCCGAGCCGAGCCGAGCAGCCGGTGAGTGCCGAACCGAGCTGAACCGAGCCGAGCCGAGCAGCCGGTGAGTACCGAAGCGAACCGAAGAGAACCGAAGCGAACCGAACCGGAGCAGGGCACGCCGCCTCCTCGGAACCCCCGGGAGCGGGATGGCGCTGGGGCTCCCGGACTGTCCCGGCCGGGAATTGTGCCCTTGTCCGCTCGCTCCGTGTCCCAGGCCAGGCTGGCCGGGGCTCGGGACAGCTGGGGACAGTCCGTGCCCATGGCAGGGGTGGCACTGGGTGGGCTTTGAGGTCCCTTCCTGCCCGAACCCCTCTGCATTCCATGGAGCCGGCTCCGAGGGGCTGCGGGAAGGCTGAGCCCCCCAGGAGCCCGGCTCAGCCCGTCCCCAGCCTGGACAGCCCCAGGAGGCTCCTGCCTGCCACTGGGGACCCCAACACCCCCGTGTTCCCCCAGCCATGGCTGAGGAGCTCGGGGAGCTGCTCAGGGAGTTCGACGAGGTCATGGAGCACTTTGAGCGGGGCCCCGCCAGTCAGTACCAGCAGCACCTGCAGGAGCTGAAGAGGAAAGCGGGACAGAGCGTGTATGACAGTGGCATCGATGAGCTGGAGAGTGAGTCTGGGGCTGGGGATGGCATCGGTGAGCTGGAGAGTGAGTCTGGGGCTGGGGATGGCATCGGTGAGCTGGAGAGTGAGTCTGGGGCTGGGGATGGCATCGGTGAGCTGGAGAGTGGGGATGGGGCTGGGGATGGCATCGGTGAGCTGGAGAGTGGGGATGGGGATGGGGATGGGGATGGGGATGGGGATGGGGGAGGATGGTGTCTGCCAGGGTGGGAGCTCTGTGGTTCCTCCATGTGAAACATCTTCCTGCTGATGCTGCCTGACTCATCCCTGCTGGGCTGGATCAGCAGTACGAGGGGATGACCACTGGATACCGGCTCGGGAGCTGCCAACATCTGCCAGGGCTCCTTGTGCCAGGCAGGACCATCAGAGGCTGGGGATAACCCAGGTCCCTGAAATAACCCTGGCCTTGTAACTGCGCCCAGACAACCTCTGCTGCTCTTCGACCTGAGAACGAACCTCAGTTCCATTTTTTCCAAGCATTCCTAGAAGCAAGGGAGGAGCAGAAGGGGTCTCCAAGAGCGTGCCACCCTGTGCCATGGGCAAAGTGTTCCCCAGGGGCCTGTGCCCAGGGCCAGGGACTGATGCTCTGTGTCCTCAGGTGCCAGCACGTCCCCAGGCAGCAGCCTCAGCTCCAGTGAGGAGCACCTCAACACCCCAGCTGACACTTACCCCACCAAAGGTGAGCCCACCCAGAGGGGTTTGCAGGGCTTCCTTCTCAGTGCTGGGCTGGGCTTGGCAATGACAGGATTGGGGGGTCCCACCCTACGGAGTGGGAATGAGCCCCCGGTGTCCTGGCAGGAGCCTGGCAGGGACAGAAGTTGGACTGGGATTTTCCCAGTCCAGGCTGGACTGGCTGGGACAGATACAGCTGGAGCTGGAGCTGAGGAACGAGGGTTGGGGGTGTCTCCTCTCCCCAGTGGGAGGGGGAACAGGAAGACCTGACCGTGTTTTTCCCCGCTAGCAAAGCTTGGAGACACGCAGGAGCTGGAGGAGTTCATTGCAGACCTGGATAAAGCCTTGCAGGGTAAGTGCACAGCCTCTCTCTCCTCCTCCAGATGTTTCCCTCCTGGTGAGAGCCTGGGCGAGTTCCTGGGAGAGGGGGTGATGCTGTGCTGGGCACCTCTGGCATCTGCACCCAGCAGCTCTGGAGAGTTTGGCTCCTCTCCAATGGCTGCTTTGCAGGGGAAACTGAGGCAGAAGCCACTTCCTCTCACAGGGGCCCTGTGTGACGGGCTGGAGGCAGAGAGAACCTGGTTAAAAATAACATTATTACCCCACACAGACTGTGTAAGACACAGTTCTGGTCTCTGTTCCCATCCCTGGTGTCCAAAACGAGGTGCCTGGTGGGAAGTGTTCCTTTGCAGGATCTGTGAACTGGGAGGGAGGGAGGGGAGCAGAGCTGCCCCCCCGCCCCAGGTCTCTGCTCTGACCCTGCAGCCTGTCACCATCCCGTGTGTCATCCTGCAGAGATGTGAGCTGTGGTGGGCAGAGGAGCAGCCCCAGCCCCGAGTGTCCCCGGTGCCACCTCTGCTTCTGCACCCCTGGCTGGGGACAGGGACGGGCAGCGGGACGTGGGACGATAGCACAGCCCTGCCAGCGCCAGGAGGGGACAGCTCTGCGCGGGCTCTGGGGACTTTGGGGTGACCTGGGCCACTGCTGAAGCCCCCAGAGTGATTCTGGGGAAGATGATCTTGCAGGACATCGGTGTGACCTCGGTGTCCCCCCCAGGCCGGGAGGGCCCATCCTTGGTGGCATCTGCCACTGCTGAGCTCTGCTTTGCATGGGGAGCCCCAAGTCGGGCTCCTCTCTGCCCCCCAAATGCCTCTGCCCCAGCTGCTGCTGGAAATACTGTAAAAATGATGTTTTGTGCTGTACAAAAGAGGGGACGTGGTTCTGGAAACAAGATTTTAAACCTCTGCCTGTGTCCGTCCTTTTCCCTCTGGCAGGGGTGGGAGCAGGGATGCCTGGGCTGCCAGCCAGTGAGATGGAAAAGGGGGAGACCTCAGGGAAGCAAGTTCAGCATGCCTGGCTAAAGGGGAACGTGAGGAACCCCTTGTCCTCCCTCCCCCTTGGGAGAGCTGCAGTCCCTCCCTTTCTGCACCTGCTGGGCTGGGTGGGCATCATCCTGCGGGGTGTGTGGGCATCATCCTGCGGGGTGTGTGGGCATCATCCTGCGGGGTGTGTGGGCATCATCCTGCGGGGTGTGTGGGCATCATCCTGCAGGGTGGGCATTGCCCTGCAGGGTGGGTGGCCCTGCTCCGGGGTGCTGCTCCCAAAGGAGCTGCTCTGGTGCCCCTTCCCCCGGACATTGCTGCTGACAGCAGCCCAGAACAAGGCCCAGGGCTGGAGGTTTGCAGCCCACTGCCAGGCCGAGCTCTCAGTGAGCTTTGGGCCGGGGTGGGATGATGGAGGATTCCCCTCCGGGAGTTTCCCGTGCCGGGGAGCGCGGGGCTGGCAGAGGAGGAAGCTGTGGCTCTGCTCGTCCCCTCTGTCCCTGTGATCCCCACGTGTGTCCGAACGGGAAATGGGCACTTTCGGTTCTGCCCTGGTCCCTGGAGCGTGGCTGCAGAGCAGGAGGGGGTCAGGGCCCCCTGCCAGCCCCTGGGGTGCCAGGAGGGCTGGGCAGGGGACACCGGGGGCTGCTGCTGTCCCCGTGCTGTGTGATGTGACCACCGATGTCTGTGACAGTCAGGGACAGCCAGGAGCTGGCTGAGAGACTGTGTGCCAAGGTGGTGACACTGAGGGGTGTCTGACACTCAGGGGTGTCTGTGACACTCAGGGGTGTCTGTGACACTCAGGGGTGCCTGTGACACTGAGGGGTGTCTGTGACACTGAGGGGTGTCTGTGACACTCAGGGGTGTCTGTGACACTGAGGGATGTCTGTGACACT